AGCCTCCTGGCCCCCGCCCGTCGGCGTGGCGCCCCCCGCCGAGCCCCCCAGTCCCCCGTAGTGTGGCACCCCCTGCCGAGCTCCCCGCCCCACGGCTGCAGCACAGCGCCCCCTGCCGAGCTCCCCGCCCCACAGCTGCAGCACAGCGCCCTTACCACCATTCTGGGGTATTGGGGTCAGCCCTGGAGGCCAGGGGCGAGTTCCTGCAGCATGGTGTCCCCACAGTATTTCCCTGCAGGGGTGCTGGGTTGAAGGCCCTCCAGTGACTCCTTTGCCCATCCAGCCATGCCCAGCCCAGGCGTCCTGCGGGGTGTGAGCGTGCTCCCCTCTAGGGCTGGCCCTGGGGGCTGAGTGCCGGGGGTCAGACCTGGGGAGATAGGGCTGGAGCATGGGTAACCCGCCCTGTGCCCGCCTTGCCACGCGTGGGTGCCGAGGAGGAGGGGGAGGGGCTCCAGCCCGGACCGGGGGGATTAAACCACCATGGTGATGTTTCTCTTTCTCCCCTTTAGGATTCAGGCTAAGCTCCCAAGTGCCAAAGCGAAGCCAGAATGAGCGACTGCCCCGGCCCGACTCACAGCAACGACGCCCCTGCCCCCCCACCCCGCTGCCACCCTCACCCCAGAACCATCCCCCACCCCCACTGGTGACACCCCCCCACCCCAGGGAAAGGGGCCGCGGCCCCTCTCCTGGTCAGGAACCCGCCTACACTTCAGCCCCTGCGCTGCCCCCCCGGCCCTGCGTGTTGTGGGGCTGGGACAGGAAGCAGCTCCCTGGCCATTCAGGGCTACGGGGGTGTGGGGGTGACTGAGAGGGGCCCCCGCGATTCGGCCACCACCCTGGGCTGTAGCACCGGGTGCAGCCTGCCACAACAAGAGGCCCCTGCATGCCACCCTCCGCTGTGGGCTGAGCCGCGCGGCCTGCTGGGCCCTGCCTGCTTCCTGCCTCCAAGCCGCAGCCCCAGCGTGAACCCGGCAGGGCCTGGCCCTGTGGGGTGCGGGTGGGGAAGGGGCAGGCCCCGGCTCCTCAGGGCTGGAGGGGTCTGATTTCCCGGGGGGCTCGGACCCAAGTGTATTCAGGGTCTGTGATTGGTTGGGAGCCCAAGGGCTGGCAGCCTGTTGTGTCCGAGCCCCTCCCGCCCCACCCCCCACTGTTTTTAGTCCGGTGGTCCCTTCTTGGACTTGGCCTGGGGCCACCCCCTGGCGCCGTGGGGCAGGCGCCGCCCAGGTGCCCGCAAAGCTCCACTCAGATTTACACTTTAATAAAAACGCTGGTGGAAAAAAACGCCGGGCAGGGTCCTTCACTGCGGCCACGGCTCGGGTGCAGGGGGTGGGAAAGACCCAGACACCAGCAGGGGGAGCTCCTGAGGCTGGGAGAATAGGTGGACGGGGTCACAGAAGGGGCCAATGCTAGGCTCCTCCCCCCCCACGCCCCGTAATCGCTGCCCACCCTGCCCCGGAGCAGGCGTGGCAGGGCAGGGGGGCGCCGGTGCAGGAGCAAGACGGGGGAGCTGCATGGCGCCCATCCCCCACTGTCTGGGCAGTGGCTGGTCCTGCGGTGCCCCCCTAGATGTGATCCCTTTACCCAGCACCAGGAGCAGGAAATGAGAAACTGCCCCCCTGGCCAGGGCATGGGGCCAGCAGGGCAGAGCGGGGGGAGTGGGGAACCGATAGGAGGGGAGGTGGGGGCCAGCAGGGCAGAGCGAGGGGAGCAGGGAACCGGTAGGACGGGGGTTGGGGCCAGGAGGGTAGAGCGAGGGGAGCGGGGATCCGGTGGGAGGGGAGGTGGGGGCCAGCAGGGCAGAGCGAGGGGAGACGGGAACCGGCGGGACGGGGGGTGGGGGCCAGCAGGACCAGCAGGGCCGGGTCATGGCCCACGGGCTACACCATGGTTTGTATCTCAAGTGCCACCTGCACTTGGCATCACCAACCCCGCGGCAGCTGGCACCGTAAGCTGGGAACGTGGCGTCTAGGAGCTCCCCGCCCCCGGCCCTGCACAGTCCTTACTCCTGAGTAAGGCCCTGTCCCCCCACCCCACCGACAGGAGCCAAGTGGCTTCCTTTGCTGCCCCCCTCACTTCACACTGAGCCAAGGACAGGACCAGCTGGTGCAGGGGCACTTGAGCCGGGCAGAGAGCCCTGGTCTCTGGCAGCCTTTCACAGTGACCATGTGACGCCGCTGTCTGAGCTCTAACCACTAGACACCGCTCCCTGCCCAGAGCCTGAGCCCCTGCACTGCCTGGCCATGAGAAAGGTGACTGCTCCCAAGCTTCCTGGGTTCTAATCCGAGCACTGACACCAGTTCCCTGGGTGTCCTTGGGCCAGCGGCTGCCCGTCTCCCTGTGCCGCAGGCTTCCCGGCAGCCCAGGACGCTGGTCTGGAGCAGCGGCTGGTTTGTATCTGGGCTGGAAAGTGTAGCCTGGTCCCTGCGGGTGGCTCTTTCGCCGCAGGATGGGGCAGCCCCTCAAGCACCTTTCCCCACCCCCTGCTTCTGGGGGTTCTGTCTGACGGGTGCAAGCCACGGGGCTGGAGCATGGGGGTGGGGGTGTCAGAGGCTTGACCTGGTGCTGGTTTTGTCTCTCCATGGTGCTGATCTGGCGCCCGGCAATGCCAGATCCACCCCAGAGCAACTTGCTCCCAGGGAGACGACCGCAGGGCTTGGCCTGGCGCCGACATCCTCAAAAAGACCAACCCAGGGGAACAGCGATGGCTCCCACCGCCCAGCCAGCTGCCCCCTGGGAGCGATTTCCTCCCCCTCATGTGCCCGCACCCTGCTCCAGCTTGTCAGAACCTGGCATGCTGCGGGTTCCTCTTACCCTCAGTGGCTTGGA